TACACAAACTTTATTGTTATTAAATGTTTAAGGATCCTAGTGAACTCAAAGTCTAGCTACACCACTGCATACCAAAGTACTCTATTCGGCCAGATTAGGGCTTGAACTCCTGTTTCCTCTTTCTCTCTCACTTCCAAGATACTTTGCTTCTGGATGCTTAGTCCCTCGCCTGCATGCGAGAATATATATCTAGTCGTAATGTCAATTGTAGCGTATCCTCTCGGGCGACCCCACGATTCAAGTTTATCCTGTCTGGATTTTGAAATTGGGGATGATCCTTAAGAAATTCCTTCTTCAGAGAAGCCACCTGTCATCGATTTATGAGAACTTTCATCCACAAAGGGATTGCTTGTAGTTCCTTTGTAAACGATGGGACACAAATCAATCACTTTATAAATCACCACTTTGATTGGGCTAGGATATCTAGTCAAACATACTCCGACCGTTGAATCGATGCAGTATGCTCTGTGGGCTCTGCCTTCGAAACCGTAGGAGAAATCACCCTCACGATTATTTTTTCCAACAAAAGAGATGAGAGATATTAGAGAAGGATTGACCTCCTTTTAATTTAAATGCGAAATTTATCTATAAAATTCCACCCATCACACATTATTTTACTACATAACTCTCTTGTATGGTTCATTTTAAGGATAAAATATAAAATACGAAAGGAACAATTAAACTTGATCATAATTAAGGAATTTGGAATTAAGAAAAAAGGAAGAAGGAGAAAGATTATGTCTATCAAAGGTAACCTATAGGATGAGACTCTTTGAGTTTATATTCCCGATGTCTCTCTAGTTGCACTACTCAAGAAGTGAAACGATGTTTCAAGATCAATTATTGTTGAAGTTCCACTTAAAAGTAAACTAGCAATTTAACAATGACGTTCTTAGTGGGGAAGATGTTCAGATTGTTTTATTGACCTAGGCATCCCAGGAATTCTCATTTTACTTCAATGCAATTAGTCAATGTTCAACTGGTTACTTTACCCTATCACATTTCTAAGGCAAGTTACATGTAAGCCTCCTAGCATACAATCCCATTAGGTCCCGAATTGTAAGAAAGATAACAGAACCAAATCAATTATGATTCTCCTGCGATTAATTGATTTTTATTGTGTTTGGTGTTCGAGGAACCAATAAGTTATATCTAGACTATAACCTTAGGGATGACTTCCTAAAATTAGAGCAAGAACAAAAAACAAAAGAAATAAAGGTAACACTAGAAAACAATGACAATTGTATCATTCGATAAGTAAAGTGGCTTAGGCTTCCACCAATGCAAACAAAACTTTGAGTTTGTTGAACATAGTCGGGGAAGAAGAAGAATTAAAAAGATGAAGACTAATGGTACATAAGTCCTCTTGATATTGATATTATATCCTCTCCAATTGAATATGCATGGCTGAGAACCAATTTTTTATGCTTCTCTATTGCTGAGAACGTCCAAAAATTGTTCAAAGATAACCGAAAAAATGAAAATCTCTAAAGTCTTATTCCTTATGGCCTTTTCAATTAGACTACTATAGCCAATAAATAATGTCTAAACAAAGCTTATGGTGGAATTACCGCTTAGTTTCTTATAATGTTGATGCATAAAAACAAAGTTTGTTTTAGTAGAAGAAAGCATTGTCTAGGCTAATCTTCCTCTGAGGTTTACCAACATTTCAGATAATTTATTCGCACAATTGTTGTCTTTATTCTTGTTTACTGGACTTATCTAATTCATAAGGATTTAAAGGGTGTTTCTATCAATGAAATTGGACAATGCAGAACCAGATTGATATGTTATAGCCTAATTACTAATCCTCATTTCACATGGAACTAGATAATTAGTTCCAACTGCTTGGTGATCTAAGAATGTGACATACTATTTTTAGATATCCCTCTCATTCCCAACATACTCTTAAACATGGGCGTGCACTATCTCCTAGATTAGGGGAATGAAGAATTAAACAATGAAGACAAGTGATTTTGAAAATGAACTAAAGAACTATGTTAATTCATTGCTTCGGAATTCATGGACAATCCCGAGTTCCAATAACCTAAATACATAAAGGTGTTTAGTTACGCATCAAGTACAGGAAGACATGATGCCAAGGAAATGGATGAAACTAGATAAGGAACGCTTGCGATAATGTGATCTGCCACCTCCAAAATGACAATTTCCATCTTAGAAAGCCAATATCTTGTGCTTCTCGGCCTTCATAGTCGTCTTAGAGGTTATATTTGTGCTCTCAAACTCACTAAGGAAGTGTCTTCGATCGCCCGAATGAAGTCACCACATGTAGAATAAGTTATGGGTTTTATACTTCGCCAGCTAACAGTGAAGATCTTGGATTTAATATTGGCGACGATGACCCACTTATTTTATTGACCCACCAGTTTCCTTTGTAACAACATGAAGTCGTGCTTTTGTCTACAATCATCAGGGCGAGGCCAAAAATTCTCCTAATGACCATCACTTAGCACCATCAATTTTGGTAGGTTATCTAAACATGGTGGTTCTTTCTCATATGGCCTCTAAATTTAATTATGTTAGGTCTCATGCATTTGTGTGCTTATCATCTATAACAAAATTACCTCCTAATCATCCATAAAATGCTCTAAAGGCCATTAAATGTACCTAACTTGTCCAAGGAGAGATAAAAATACATGAAAAACTCAAATAGGAAGAAAATCAATACCAGCTAACCCATTTTAAAGCAAATAAAGCGAAGTTACTAAGAATGAGAGCAATAAACGCTATAAATTAAGTGTCAACAGTGAGGTCCCTCGAATTCCAATAATTATGTGCATGTATATCCTTGCAAAATCGAGACTAACAATCACGTCTTTAAAATGGAAGATCTTGATTGTCTGTTTTCCTTCAAAGATAATCATTTTACTTTTAAGAAACAGAGAATGTCAATTTTTGCCAATTAATTATGATCTTTATCATTAGTTTCCTCCCTGGTCATAATGTTTAACACCAGTTAAGGAATTTGATAACAAATTAGTCAAGGTAGCAAAGAAAATTGGTGAAACATTGCTAAGGAGGGGAGAGATAGATACTATAAACAGAGTATTATCATGCTTCATCTTAATCAAGCCTTTTGATCACAAAAATAAGAAAAATGATTAACTAGCCATAAACACCATCCCCCTCTTACCTTACAAAACTTGCATGATTTGTAAGGAGTTGAGATGACATATGATTTCAATGCGGTTCGAACCGCTCTCCTCCAGTTGACTAAGTTTTTGTAACCTCTTATTGACGGACTACAATGAGGCTCCAAAATACCAATTTTCAAGAGCTTACTTCTTCTTTCTTCCCAAAATCTGTCTCTTCGACTTCCTTGGATATCTAACAACCTTCTTTTGCTTGGAGAGATAGTAACTCATTCTCTCTTTTCCATGGGGTGACAACTCTATAGGCCCCCTCACTGGCTCACTCCATTCTAAGAATACCACTTGCAATACACCTTCTATTCTCCATTCAAACTAGACATTCATCTCTAGTTTTCTTGACAATCTTCTTCCTCGCTTATTCTTAACATGAAAAAAATTTACCTAACTCGACCTTAGCTGGTGATTCATTTTCTTTTTTGGAGTTCAGTTGATTCAATTATTATCATAGATAACTTGTTAGAAGATAATTAAGGTATAGGTAAATCTTAATCACAATTATTGTTCCCTAAGAGCAAAACATCCTCCCAAGTCGATGTCCATTAGAGTGAGAATATGATTGCGATTTAATCCTCGATCTATTCATTTCTACAGAAGTTAACCGTAACTAATTGCTAATCCAATTTGGGGTTAGCTGTTAATCACTAACTGCAATCAATGTGGTTAACTACAACGTCAAGGATTCCCCGCCCTTATTTTCGTGCATTCACTAGTTTTATTGAGAAAACCAAAAAGTAGGGCTGGAAATTAGCCTGACCCGTCCCTGAAGGGTCAAGATGTATAACCAACTCGTCCCGTCCTTGTCTCCTTCTTGACCCTGTCTGACCCTCAAGAGTTGGGACGGTGGGTTGACCCTAATCAACACACTACTTTTTTATAAATTACATTTTTGTACCCAAACTTATTTTTTCTTACAATTTAGTACCTAAATTTAATTTTTTTTACAAATAAGTCCATAAATTTGGATGGTAAAATTATGTTCTGGTACCCAGAAACAATTTAGTACCTAAATTTTTAAACTTTACAAAGAGGTCCAATGTGGTATGAGATATTTGTTCTTGCTAAGGATCACAAGGTCAAAAAGTAACCAGTCTCTAAGTTATCCCTACGTTCCAACCCTTACAGGGTCAACAAATGACATGTTCTTAATCTGACCCTGTAGACAAACTGACCCGTCTCAACCCTCAAGGACTAGACGGGTCTGTGGGTCTTCTGTGTCAAGCTTACACCTAGGGGTGTTCAAACGGATTGGTTACCATGGTAACCATATTAACCGGTAGCATTGGGTTAATTTGGTTTGGTTAATTTGGATAATTGGTTTGGTTGGTTAAATAATTTAGCTTATTTGGTTTTGGTGGTTTGGTTTGGTTTGGTTTCAACACTGCTAACCAATAAAACCAATTAACCAATTAATGATACACCTAATATACAAAATTATTTATACTTCCATGCAACCAACCAAACCAAACTTTCGTGATTCGCTATTTTATTACCATGTGCACGACAAACCAAAACATTATGGGCCAAAAATTAAATGGGTCTGCCTATTTACTAAATCAAAACATTCTGGGCAACTTCTAGACTTTAGAATTACGTACAATACCATGACAGTCACCTTAAATATGTATAGTTTAAGTGTTTTGCAGGAGAGTTTTAACTTCAGGATGAGTGGTTTTGGTATGTATTTATGTTAAGGGGTTTGTTGTAAGCTAACTATATTAGGTGTAGAGATGATGAATGATGTATTGACTCAATGATGATGACAATCATGGATGGTTAGTCTTATTATAATTGTTTATATATAATGATAGTTTATGATAGTAACAACATATGGTTATGTTTTATTCATTAAGAAGATAATTGTTTTCATGTAATATTATGTTATTTGGTTAATCCGAAAATCCGATTGACCAAACCAATTAAACTTTGATTTAGTTAATTTAGTTTTCGTGTTAACATGATAACAATTTGAACACCCCTACCTACACCCTACCAAAATAGATATACAAACAGTCATGCAACCGAAAAAAATGTTGGTGGGTTGACTTGTGCCTAGTTCTTAGGTTGTCGCGCATTTTGTTCCCGTCCGTTCAAAGTTGGGGCTCTTTTTTTCCTTTGACAAATATGAACCACACATTCAAAAGGAAAATGCACGAGGTTCAAAATACTTGGACCGAGAATAACAACTGAAACTATATGAACATCACATCCAGAACATATTTTACACATTCGAGCAGAGAACTAAACTATGTTCCAAACAAAACACTGTCAAACAACTTACACCTAAACTAAAACCCTAATCTCCCATTAATTCCTTCGTCACCACCCTCATCTATCTACGAACCTTTCGAAGCTTTAAGATCATCAATGATTCCAGCAACGGACCCAGCCGCCGCAACCAGAGTGACCAATAAACAACCAAAGCTCAACAACTTGAGCAACACCCACGTCCGGCTCCACCTCGCTAGCTTCCTCTCCGCAATGTACATCTCCACGGGGAAGTAAACCGTCAGCGGCCAGAACCCGATCGCCCCCAGCAGCCCGACCACGTCATTGAAGAACGGAACCAGCACCGAAATCACCGTCGACACCACCACGAAAACCGTCCTCCAGACCAGCCTAAACATGTTGAAATTGTAGTAGTAGTTGCCATCCTTGCTGCTTCCCGGAAGCCGGATTTTGATCTCCTTGTTCACGAACCGGCTGTCCGGGAACCACTTGGCGGCTAGCTCTTCGACGAATGCGAAGAGCGGCTGGCTGTAGACTTGGTACGCGCCCAACAGGTGAAGTACGACCGCGACGTTCGCGATGTCGAGTAGCCAGTAAGGCTTTAGCCCCGTCGATGTAAGCAGGTTGCCCGGGGACGAGTCCCCGAATGCTGCGTACCCGAAGCAGCCGCACAGCATGTAGAAGAGGGTCGTCACTGCCACGCTGAATCGATTCGCGACCTTCATTGTTTCGAGTTCTGATGGTGGCGATTTCACTGTGTCCTGGTATCGAAACAGATTGTCAACAAAAGTTGTATAAGATGATCAAAATTATAATAAAATCATGGTTACTGAACTTTGGTCGGTCTAATTAAGGTATACATATTGACCTGAATTTCGATTAGGATCATGTTGTAGGAAGGAAGAGCAAATTGACCTGAATTTCGATTAGGATCATGTTGTAGGAATAGGCGAAAGCGATGTTCCCCAGCGCCTGGAAGACCCTCCAGACCTTCTGCAGTGGAGTGACGGTTGGGCCTATGCTGACTCCAGTTATGGTTCCCTTGATCCTCCCCGTCGATGCGAATTTCGCTATTTCGAGCCCTAGCCCAATGAAAGAGTAAGTGAAGGACATGGCTGCAGCCACCGACGACAGCCACCACAGCTGACCAAAATTCTTGATCTGAGACAGGATCAGCTGCGCAACGCCGAATGCAATTATGTAAGGGCTTGCGTTCGTGCTACAAGCGCCGGAGGAGGAGCCGCCGCCGCTGCTTCTGTGAGTGCAATGGGTCTGCCTGATCGCCCTGTTCCATTGTTTCTTGTACATTAGATACATGATAATTTTGATTCAAGTCAAGGCAGATAGTAGAAAATCGGGAAAAGAGATTTGAAACCCACAGCATGTTTACACCCGATGCTATTGTGTAGCCAACTGCCGATCCGAAGAGATTGAATTGCTGGACACACCCACACAGCTTATGATGGAACTTCCCTGCAAATATCAAAATGTGGGTTGGTCAATATGGCCGGAATTGAAAACTGAGAGAGAGAGAGAGAGAGAGAGAGAGAATTGAACCGTACCGAGGCTGGAACCGACGGCGTCCATGTAAGAGTAACTTCTGGTGCCTAAAACAGGATCCCCTGACCTGTAGCAGTAAGAAAGCAGAGTCGAAGTGCAGTACGTCACGAGAGCGAAACAGAGCATCGTAATCGGGCCGGCGATCCAACCAAGCTGAGCCACGGCCCAAGCCAATGACAGCACTCCGGACCCAATCACTGCTGTGATTATGTGAGCGCTCGTCGTCCACACGCCGCCTGCCCAACCACATACAATTCACGAAAAAAGGAAGAATCAGCCCAATGTAATCGCGGAGACAAAGAAACAGAGAACGAAAGGGAATTTTACAGAGAGTCTTGAGCTCTTACCAGTACGCCTGGGACGGCCGTCGTCATCGACGAATGTGGCATCTTCTGCAGGGACGGTCATTGTCAGGAACTTTGGATGTAGTGGGATCGCGAAAAATCAAACCTTTCGAAAAGGGGTTGTTTGTTTTTTCTTCAAAATCCGGCGTGGAAGGGTTGAAGGTGTAGGGAGGAATCAACACTCTGTTTTCTTTTCTCTCTGGTTCTGTTTAGGGCTTGGAGAGGGTAAACTAAAATCTCCTCTTTTATACTGCGACGGAGAATCTCTAATTCGTAATCTGTTTGGTCTGTGAGACTTTGGTCATATAGTATCGGTACTTGGAGAGTTGACGGAATTTAGGGGGTAAGAATTTAATCAGGATTAGGATTGCTATTAATAGTTACGATTCTACAACATCAGATTTGATTTGTTTGGAATTTGTTAGGTGGGATACCAAAAGGAGAATTTAATTTACCATTTATACTTTAAAAAAAAGTGCATTGAATCTAGACTGGTATTATTATACATATGTAAGGCTGAAAACATGCAAGAAGAGATTTAAAAAACTGACACAAATAATAAAGAAGCATTAAAGGCTGAAATAGAACTTATAGTAACCTATAATTTATCAAAATGGGAAGTGAAAATGTATTTGACTACTTTCTTGTTCTATATATATATATTAATTCAGGAGATAATCATAAAAAACTTGTTATTTCTTATAAGTTATCACATTCGATAAAAATTCGGTTACATCAAAGTTAAGGTTGCAAATTCGCAAAAGAACCATTAGAACGAACCGTATCGACCTGAATTGAGTTCGTCATTCAACGCCCACACCTAAAATAAATGTATGTTTGGACTCGATCAAACTATAAAAAACCCGATCAAACCAGAGAAAAAAGATGATGGTTTGCCCGTCTAACCTAGCATTGGTGGATCAAGACGCCAAACTATTCTTAGCTATATCCAACCATCCAAAACCCAGAACAACAACCACCATTAATCAAATTAGAAGCTATTTAGACAAATCAATTCACGAATTTCTAGGGGTTTGAGAAATTGATGCCAATTAAATGAGAAATTGGAGTTTTGATTCCAAATTAGAATCATCACAAACTTTAATAATCAACAATACTTTCAATTAGGGCTGTTAGTCGGTGCGGTTTTGGTTAAACCGAATCGCAAACGCGATTAACCGCCATCGAGAACAGGCACAAACCGTCCACCGACACCGCCTTCGCAAAGCTGGGTGGTTAACCTCCACCGACACCGACAATAGGAGGTGCAATTTTTCGATTGACCGCTAACCGAGAGAGGCCGATGACAGAAGGATTCCCAGCAAGCGACATCAACAACAACTTAGGGAAATAAGGCGAGACGATGGGAGGTGGGAAACGATAGGATTGGCCGTCGATTGACCACCACTTGGCGACGAGCTGACGACGGCGCGGTGATGAGCTGCTGACAGAGGGGAATGACGCGGTAGGGTGATGATGGAGGCGATACAAGGCACGCTTGGATTTGGATTTCGTGGGCGCTAAAGGAGGGGGGGCGAGCTGGAGATGGTGGGGATTCCCTCGGCGGGTGATGAGACAAGACGAGTGGGGTGGGGAACGATCAGATTGGCCGCCAATTGGGATTTGTCGGGGTTTGTCAATTAGGATGTGTTGGGGAACGATTCGAAACTTGAAATGGGAGGACTGTGAATCGACAAAAGGGAAGGAGGGAGTGTTGGGAGAGAAGGGTAGGCGAAGTCGGATGGGGGCGATTGAGGATGTGGATGGCGATAGTCCTGTGGTGGTGGCCTGGTGGGCAACGAGATCTGGTGGAGGATGGAGAGGGAGAGAGTGGCGGTAAGGGGCGAGGAGAGGGAGATGAGAGGTTTGGCGGTTGTAGTGGTGCACCGAGTTTATCTCAGTTAGAAACCGACAACCACCGGTTGGCATAAAGCCCTGAATTAGCCCACAGACAACGAAGCAAAGGCAACGGTTTTCGATTAGGTGAATAACCATGATTTTCTTTTCAGTTTTCGGTTTAACTGATTAACCGGCAACCAATTATCACCCCTACTTTTAATTTTCCATACGGCCCCCAAACATAGCGTACATGAGAGGGTGAATAACTCATGAGTAACTAAATCTAGACCTTTCTTTTAAAGTGGTCTCAGAAAATTTAGATGTAATGGGCTCTTATATTCTTCGTTCTAACTCAAATTTCAATTTTTTTTGCACATATAGAATGTGTTCGTTGTGCTCTACTAATTGTAATCAATTTTCAATATTTTTTTGGAATTATTTTTAAACCTCTCGTTACCGACTCTATTATATGGTATCTCCTTTGTTTTAAGTCGTTTATGAAAATATTTACACAGAAAGAACAAGTTTGTCATGATCTATTGGATCTACAAATTTGTGGGTGAAGAAAATACAGGTCAAAAATATCATACTATACCACCCTAGTGGGGGGAGGGGTATCTTGTGGTTATAGGTGTCCATCGGGCGGGTTCGGGTCGGGTTTAAACGGGTTGCGGGTTGATCGGGTTGCAGGTCAAGTGGATTCGGGTTGATCGGTTTGCGGGTCAATTGGGTTGCGGGTCAATTGGGTTGTAGGCCAATCGGGTTCGGGTTGGTCGGGTTGTGGATCAATCGGGTTGTGGGTTGATCAGGTTGCGGGCAAATCGGGTTCGAGTTGATCGGATTGCGGGTTACCCGGGTTACGAACAGGTCGGGTTGTTTGGTCCAAACCATAGAGTTATTTTTTATAATAATTAGTTATTATATTAATTTAAAATAATCTCACCAATCACATTCACTATTTTGCAAACTCGGCAATTTAAAACAAACAGAGCTGAAAAGAACAATGGAGGAGAGACAAGTTTTTGCCCTTGTTAACTAACGCCAGTTGAGTAAAAATTAAAAAATTATTTACAGTTAATATATATATATATATATATATTATTTGGTTACAGAAAATGAGGCTTAAAACGTTGGGGGGAAATTAAGACCAAATATTTGAGGGGTTTCAAAAGTGTTTTTATGGGTTTTGAAGGGAGGGAAGTTAGACCAAATATTTGGAGGGATTTTCAAAAGTACTTTTATGTTTTGGAGGGAGGGAATTTGAAATGTGTATTTCTCCCCAATAGTTAAATTAATTTTTAAAAACAAATTAGATAATAAAAATATAACACCAAAATATCTATCACCAAAGGAATACGAATGGAAGAGTTAGTGGGCTACTTAATTTTAATGGAAAGTCATATGCTTTTAAAATTCTAAGTGTTTGTATGTTTTTAGTTTAAAAGGACATCAAATTCTTTAGATGAAATTTGAAATGCTAAAAAACGACCACCACTTCTATTATTATATGTTTCTTATGGTTAATGGAGTTTCACATTGAATACCCATAACTCCTCAATCATAAACCATACACCCCTAAATTGTAAAGCATAACCATGAAGAATGTAGCTATATGTCATCTAAACCATGACACTATACCCTATACACTAACCTTAAACTCTGAACTGTAGCTATATGTTATGAAATTGTTGGTAGAACGTATGTTATGTGAAAAATGTAAGTTAAGTCAATTTTATATTTGGTTACTGTGAAGAACATACGTCATAATCTTCTTAACTCTAAACCAGGACAGTAATACCCTATGCATTAACCTTAAATCCTGAACTCTAGTTACATGTCATGAAATTGTTGAGTTGGCTCGTTAGCTTAATGAGTTGGCTCGTTAGCTCGCTTGTTTATTAATGAGCCGAACATGAGCTAGATCTAGCTCAACTCGTTAGGCTCGCAAGCTAACTCGAATTGATAACTCGTTGAGTTTAGCTCGTGAGCTAGTTCGATTTGAAGTTCACGATTCAACTCAATAATTTGGCTCATGAATTACTTAGATGATATAGCACACTTGAGGTGACTTGAGTAGGGGTGGGCAACGGGACGGGACGGGATACCCGTCCCGTTTTAAACGGGTACCCAGTCTCATTTGGAGACCAAAGTCTATCCCATATTCCAAACCCATATGGGAAACATGTACCAATTACCCGTACGGGACGGATAACGGGTACCCATACTACCCATAAATACCCAAAGTTTAGAGGGTGGGTCCTGGGACCCACCCTGGCTCGGGTTAGAAAATGCTCAATTAGGTACAATAGTTAATCGGGTATGAAAAATAATACGTATTTAAATGAAATTGGTAGACCTTTGAAATATTTGATGTATGATTTATAACGAGCGTTGACATATTCAATGTACTTATAACGAGCTATGTACAAATGATAATGATGTATATGATTCGACCAAAATTGAAGATGTATGTATTCAATATTTACAACAAATTCCCACCAAATCATAATTCATTTGTAAAAATAAATTTATTTCAATCAGGGGTAGCTAGGGAGATTGTAACAGGTGTTTCCTAAGGACGAAAATGAGTAAATTAGTATAATAGTTGATCGAGAATGAAATTTAGGGCACTTCTAATTGAGAATGGTTGACAGAGATATCATTTGTTCGAATCTTTGTAACCCCATTTGTTAAACACATGATATTCGGATTTACGTAAACTTTAAGCACGCATAAGTTGGTTGTAGTAAGCAAGAAAGTGTTAGTAAATACTAAATACTATTAGATTCATTATTAAATCTTTACTAACAACTCGAGTTAATGATACTAAACGGTCTTGACGAAGAACACCATTCAAAAGCAAAATACAAAATTATATCATGAACGATTTAAAACGCTAATAAAATTATTTTATCGTATGTATTTTTTTCTAAATGGACCCACCCTCGACAAAATCCTGGCTACGCCCCTGGTCCCAATCCTGTCAAATCGCTTCTTTGGAACTTTATCTGCCCAAGTAGCCATAATGCTCAACCTCATTAATTAGACTTAAAACTCCAGCAAGAAGGCATGTTGGTGTAAATCAGTTAATGGCATGCACTTCATTGATGTATCGTGAGTTCAACAAAAGGACTAGTCTGTTAACAGTGAAAAATGAAATGTTCTAACTGTAATTAACATTCTCCATTTCGGTTGTCCTGCATTGTCAAGTTACATATTGCAACAAGCTTCCTGCACTGCATGGCACACTTACTAAAGCCATAAAGTCATAAAGCTTTCACTTTCTCATCAAACAACCTTTTCTCATCATTTTCCCTGTCTTAGACTCATATTCTTCACTCCCCAAATCGTCCAGCCACCAAAATCTAGCTCCCTTTGTTCGCATGACAATGTAGCAGGCAACATACACTTCTCAGTTTCAACATATCTCACCAAAATACTGTCAAAATCGTTTATTTGGTTTGGAAAAAATATAATCAACCATGGAGATCCATTACTAGTCGAATCTTCTATCAGTGTCCAACTGTCCATTGCTACTCTACATCTGCTTGGAGTGGCTCTGTCAAAACAATACCCTGAATACCCAACTATGGAGCACTTTGAGGTGGACTTGGAGACCGCCATGAATGTATTTTTTACCACATCGTTGGGGAAGATATATCCCTGCCTTCACCCAACTATATAATAGTGGGTGGCACTTATTAAACCATCAAGTCCAGAAGAGTTCCTAGTTGTTGGCCAATGAAATAGACCGCAACTTTACTCTTATTCTGGCCCAGTGTAAGCTCCCTTTAGGGATTCTATCGAGTTGAGCTCGTTGAGCTAATAATCAAGCAAATATCAAGCTCGAGCCGAGCTCGAGATGCTTGATTTTTTCATGCGCCGAGCTCGAGCTTGGTAAGTCAAAGCTTGTGTCGAGTTGAGCGGAGTTCGAGCTGAGAATTTGGGCTTCGAGCTCGAGTTGAACTAGTTCAAAACTCGATTCGGCTCGGCTCATATGTAGCGCTAGTCTCCGCCCCTCACTTGCTCCGACCTCCACATTTACAGGCATGATGCTATATTGGAATATATTTTATCATTATCTATTTGGTTTATGTGTTTCATTAATCAACACAAAGTAAAACTTTGTTTTTGGTTGGAAAGATAAAATAAGAATAGGGCAAGCCACATAAATTATATAAGAATTTGGTGGCTACTTCGGTGCACTCATTTTTCTGGGTGCACCTAAAAGTGTCCATAATACATCGATTTTTGAACTTTAATGAGTATTCTCAATCTAATAAGATGATACGCCATAAAATCATAACAAATCAATCTACTACTATAACCCTTTAACCTTCAATTTTGAATCCCAATGCAAAATCTCAAACTGTAAACCTAAACCCTAAACCCCTAAATCCTAAATCATACAAATTAAAGTAAATTTTAAATGTTTTTTTTCAAATTCACGTGCTTCTTGTTCTTAATATTATAAGTAACAATTGAAACTGTTTCGACATGAATCACATGCTCAGAATGATGATTATGAGGCGGGTGCACTGAGTGCACCCAAAAAAGTGGGTGCGCCGAATACGCCACCATATATATATATGGTGGGTATTGACCAAATCGTCGATGACTCAGCCGAAGTAATTCAAGGCCTAGAAGATCATATTGAAACAGAAATCAATCGTCTCCGATGGAACCAACCCTCTGCATCTAAGATGTATTACCCACGTCCCACGGCACCTGATTTAGCTCTCGAAGAGAAACCCACCATTATCCAAAATAAATACAACTCCAATTCTATTTACGAATGGAATCTTGATGGATTTTTCAGAATATCAAATTTTGAACCTTCTTCAACAAATGACCATGGTAGCTAATGCTTACAAAACACAAAATCAAACTTCTAATTACGCTATAGCTGAACTACTTATAGCCGGCTTTGGTGGTCAATTAAAGGGTTGGTGGGATAATATCTTAACCGCAGAAGACCAGAGAACTATTTTTACAGCTGTCAAATGTGATTCTTCTGGAACTCCTATTTTAGACTCCAATAATCAATCTTCTCAAGATGCAGTCGCATCTAGATTTTGTTTGCAAAAATTGCGTTGAGGATTTTTCGATAACTTTGGACAATTCAGGATTGTTATTGAACCATTGGAGGACTTGAGGTTTGTAGGCCTGTTCTGGGAGAGGATTTGCAGCCCAATATTTGGTTTTGAAGCTGCGGCCTAACATGGGTACCTTTGTGACAACACATGTTTGGTAACTGAATTCCCAAGCAGTAATCCAAGGAACTTTGATGTAGTAACAAAATTTGAGGAGGGGGAATCCTGGACCAGAATATTTTTGACAGAAGGTTTGATATCCCTCTTGTATCTCAGTTGGATAAATATTTTCAGTTGGCCCAAAAAGATCCCACCAGCGCATAAACCAGTTGGGGAAAATAATGGGAGTTTTGTAATCCCAGAAAAAACTCCAGGAGTGTCGGTACATATGGTTTTGCTTAAAGAAGGCATTAATCCAAGCTTCATGGTAATCCCAGTAATTGAAGGATTGGCAGATTTGCGGGTGGTTAAGAGCAATAGTAGCAGGGAATTTTTGGTTGGTGTTTGGGCTAGTAGGCCATTGGCGAGGGTGGATAATTTGGTGGATTTTGCAGGTTGAGTGGGTATTGAGTGTTTTGTCTGAAGGATCAAATTTGCGGGAAAAGGTGACTCATGCAGTTTCTGTGAGGATAAGTTCATAATATTTGTGGGTTTTGTTGAGGGATCTTGGTTTGAAGAACCACTCATTGAGGAAATGTTTGGCAGTGACATTTGGATATTGATGGTAGAAACCATCTTCAACAACGAAAATGGGTTGAAAAGTGTTTTTCTTAAAATACGTTTGAAATCGATTTTGAGGGGCTTGGACAACCACCACCTCTTGGGTTTTTTGAAAAACGGTTTTGAGAGGGGCTATCGAAGATGCCACCTCTATTGCGGTAGGTGCAACATCAAGATGATGTTGCTGATATATTTGTTTGGTTTCTTCGGAAGAGATGGGTGTGGGTAGGATGCCACTTGGCGTTTGAGTATTTGAAAGAATTAGTTTAGAAGGGGAAATTGTTGAGGAAGTTGAAGCTTCAGTTGGAAGCTTTTGTTTAGAACCAGAAACGGCAATAAATTTTTGAAGGTAATTTTGGGCTTCAAGAGGAAGCTTATCAATATTGATTAAAGCTTTGGATGAACTTGAGTGTGAACCAGAATCATCAGAACTTCCTTCATACTCACTTGAATGATCAGGGCTTCCTTGTTCATCATCAAATATCTCTCTCCATGTTTTGATTTTGATTTTCTCTTTATCTCGCAATCTAGTGGTAGGGGGCATTATGACTGGAGATTGCAAGCCTGAGAGTTTTTCGCACTTCGTCCTCCCTGCAAAAATTCCTGAGTAAGGAAGTCTGGAAGAGAGTTTGAAGAACCATTTATAAATTGTATGTCAAAATAAAAAATGCTAAGGATGGCTTGCCATCGTGCAAATAGTTGTTTAGAAGCAAGGTTTTGAACATCTTTTTCCAAAATGTATTTTGCTGATTGGCAATCAATGCGTAGTAAAATTTTTTGATTGAGCAAATCATGCTGAAATTTTGAGATGCATAAAACAATAGCAAGCAGTTCTTTTTTTACAGTGGAATAATTGATTTGGGTAGGGTTCCAATGCTTAGAAGTAAAGCGTACCAACAACTCCTTATCATTTTGAATATGCTTAAGGATTCCTCCATATCCTAGGTCAGAGGCATCGGTTTCAACGATTTTAGGGAGAGAAGGATCACTTATGTGAAGGCACGGGAGACTCTGAACCTGCCTCTTAATTTGCTGAACTATTTTGGTATGCTGGTCACTCCAGGGAGGGGGACTCTTTTTCAATATATCATGGAGAGGTTTACAAAGAAGATGTTATGATAAAAGTCAAGGACATAGTTTAAACTACCCAGGAACCGTTGTAATTGATTTTTGTCTAAAATTTGATCAGGAAATTCAGCAAATTGAAGTGATCTTTCGATTGGAACAATTGTTCCTTGACTAATGTAGTGACCCAAAAAACGTATCTTAGTTTGAAAAAGACAAAGTTTTGGTTTAGAAACAGCCAGACCATTACGTCGAGTAACTTCATGAAATAAATTGAGATGTTTGAAATGTTGGTCAATGGACGAAGAAAAAACCTGCACATCATCAATATAAACTATTATGAAATCAAAATAAGGAGAGTAGATTTGATTCATAATTCTTTGAAATTCTGAGGGAGCATTTTTTAAACCAAACGGCATGACGTTCGATTCATATTCGCCAAAGGGAACGGTAAAAGCAGTTTTATAGCGGTCTGTTT